ATCTTGAGTTAGTTATCTGCTCCTAATGATCAGCTGCTGTAGAAGATCATTGAGAGCTCCCAGTTTGAAGTTTTATAGAAGAGCAGTCAAATTCTGTGTAATTCTGGATTGCTTCTTTAGTTGTGCAAAGTGAACGCAGGATTGACATCCTGAGGCTTCACTGCTGTAAAAATACTCAAATATAAAATACATTCACATCCCATGGAAGGTAGAAGCTGGATAAAATCCATCCAAGGGTGTTCAAGAGCCCTTGAGGCTTTGGTTCCTGGCCACATTATACCTTGAAGTTTTTCAGGATTGTATTGTTGACGGGTGACACAAGACTTAGTTGTCTCTCTAAAGCTTCTTCTCCAATATTGATTTAAGCTAGTAATCAGTTTAGCTGGGTGCAAKGGCACACTCCTGTAATCCCAGAAACTTAGGAGGCTGAGGAAGGATGATCACAAGTTCAAGGCCAGCCCCAACATTAATGAAACCCTCAGCAAGTCAGTGAGAATGGCTTAAACAACAGACTCATAAGGCCCAGACCTGTGTTTTAACTTGTGAGTTTCCTTCTTATGGCAGATACCACTAGWAGCTAGAACAATACAAAACAGCAAAATGAAAGCCAGCAAAAGGGATGAAAAGAAATGAGCTGATTCTACCAATGATGCTAAACACGTAGAAATCAGTAACAACTCCTGAGTACCAAGCTGAGCTTAAGCAGATAGGAAGCTCAATGCAAAGAGCAGAGTTCAGGCCCAATACTAACTTAACCAAATTGATGTGGACTCCATAAGCCAAGAATATCCAGGCACCAAGGGCTTCCCTAGTAGTACACCTGGGGGAAGGCTAGGGTCTTTGGTGAGAAGCAGTATAGAATGTATATTGGGGCCACCAAGGAAAACTSGAAATAAATGAAGTCCACACAAAGAAGAACAAGTAAAGGCTATTTATTCTGAATTTGCTATAGCAAAGGAGTTGGTCACCATCCTTTGCTTTTGGTAGAAATTCACAGTCAGGAAGTGGAACAGAAAAGCTTTATTGTTAAAAAGGGGGGGGGGGAGATGGTAGGCCTTCAGATTGAATGTTAGTGGAGAATTTTTTTAAAACTACATATTTATGATTTGTATTTTCATACAAGGTAACTTCATTTTAAGCCCCAGTGTATCTCCAAAAATCTGCCTGAATTATATAATGAAAAATATATATGTGTGTATACTTATATCCACATGTACGCATATATGTATTTGAATTATATACCCTCCATATTCAAATAACATACTTTTTGGTACTCAACTTGGCTATGTAAAAAAGATCATAAAAGCTAATGACTTAAATCCGTTGATGGAAGAACCTCTTTTGCTTTAAAAACAATTTTAATCGTGGGGTGTGGTGGCACACACCTGTAATCCCAGTGGCTTAGGAGGCTGAGGCAAGAGGATCTAGAGTACAAAGCCAGTCTCAGCAACAGAAAGGCGCTAGCAACTCAGTGAGACCCTGTCTATAAATAAAACAAAATAGGGCTGGGGATGTGGCCCAGCAGTTGAGTGCCCCTGAGTTCAATCCCTGGTACAAAACAACAACAACAACAAAAAAAAAAAATCCACAAACAATCAATTTTAATCAGTGATTCAAATTGCATTTAAAAATAGGTGATAACTGAGCCTCACCAGCTACTTTGATTTCATGCCAGGTCCCATCCTAGAATAGTTTTGGTATTTTCTTCTCTGAATTTTTGTTTTCTTCACTCTAAACTGAAGACCCTGACCTACTCCACAGGGATGTTAGGATAATTAAAAGATTCAGAGGGGCCTAGGAGAATAGCTCATGTAGAGTGCCTTCCTAGCATGTGTACAAGGGCCTGGGTTCAATCCCCAACACCCACACACACACACACACACACACACAAAAAAAAAAAGGGCAGGAAAAACAAGGTATAGAAAACACTGGAGAAGCTCCTTTTGCTCACTGTGTTCTCCAGTGTTTTCAACAAACATGTGGCTATATAGTATGATCAGGAAGAAGGAGGATAATGGAAGGAAAGCAAATACAATAAATGAGACAAAAACTCAGTGTCTATGGCTTGTGGAGGGGGACAAGGAAAGAACATGCTAGACACAGAGGGGAGTGTTCTATCTTGCATTGCAACACACCAAGAAGTGAGGGAGGTTTGAATTTGGTTATCATAGATTAGACTTTTCCTTCTAGAAGGTTTACCAGCATTCATTCATTCATTTACAAATCCCAGAAGATGCAAAGAATGCTAACAATAGGATCAGGCCCTGTGCTTGGTTGGCATGGGGATGCCAGAGAGAATAGGAGAGGTCATATAAGTGCCCTCATGGGAATGGACAATCTGGTCCTATTTTAAGGATTCATAAGGAAAGAGCAAGCCTAAAAATTTGCTATTACTGGACATGAGACTAAAGAGTGAGGTCCGGAGGCCCCTGTATTCTATGGACTTCTTAACAATCATTTGGGGGAAACATCAAATACAGTATCATATTCAAGGGACAGGTAATAGACTTAGACTTGGACTGAGAACTTCAAATCTCTAACAGTTCGGTGAGCTGCCATTTATACTTACTTGTATTGATACTTTATATTTTGTTTTATTCTCTTAAACCTACCAATGTTGTGTTCAGTACCATTTGCTAGTTTCCCCACTTTCTAATTCTCTCAAGAGAGAATTATTACTAACACACCTTTACATTCACACTCCCAAGTTGGATCATCAGACTTGTGGGATAAATATCAAAGGCAGCATCAGAGAATCAGAGAATAGAGACACTAGAGCTTCACACTTAGCTTACACTAAGTAGATTCACACTAAGCTGATCTGCATACTAGAGCATAACCAGCCAACTAAGCAATTTAATCAGGAGGGGCAGTTAATGTAATCAGACATGCCTTCAGCTCAAGGAGCTGGTCAAGTGGCAGAGATGGTGGGCACCACAGAGATCCCTGCATGTTCTTAAACAACTGAATTTATCGAATACTATGTGCTAAGAGAGGAAAAAGACATAGTCCTTATTTCCTAGAGCTCAAAGACCAATTCTGTCTGTGACTAGATTAATTCTTTATTCTTAGGCCGGGTTGAGGGGGAAGAGGTGTTGGAACTATAAAATTTTACAGTTGCTCAGAAATTACACTAGAGGATTGAGACCTTTATGTTTGGAATAGAATGGATATTCAACAAGCCTGGCTTGGTGGTCCAGACTCTTGAAGGATTTCCCACAGGGCATTCAAGAACATCTGGGCTAAAAACTTCCCAGCACATGTCAGCTAACAAAGACAGCTGTGATTAGAACAAATCCTCCTCCCCTGGAATGCTATTTCTATAGGATGTACTCTACAGTCACCCCAGCCTTCCACTCTAACTAATGCATTTAATGATGGTAATAAGCACCAATTGCCTGCCACCTGCCAGGTACAGTGTCAGATATTTCAAATACAAAAGTGCATTTAATCCTCACAACAATTTTAGGAACACATATTATTTTTGTTTCCAAAACACAGCTGGGTAAACTGAGTCTCAGAGAGGCTAAGTCCTGAAGCCAGAATTAGATGGACAGTCAGCATAGATAGGTATATCGAGTCAGGTTGCTTCAAGGAGGCTAATTTTGGGTGAGTCTGGGAAATTGGAGACTGTCCCCTGAAGGATTGAAGTGTTAATTCCTTCAGAGTCTTTCTTCCACCCTTATCAAGAACCAGCCCCTGCTCCAACTTGTTGCCAAGGTAACCTGTCCCAGGAATTGCCCCTCCCTACAGGGGCTCTAAGGTGGTTAATGTGTTCTTGGCTGCACCATCCTGCCCTTCCCCCTTCAGCTCACCTGTTTCCCACCTTTTAGCCATCCCACCAGCATTTTTCCTAGGCCTAATCACATACTCAGGAAGGAGAAAGACTAGGGGAAGAGGGCAGGAGAACAAAGGAAGCCTAGGACATATAAAAAGGGCAGAAAACCTCGCTTCTGGGGATAGCAGGATACCAGCTATCCCTTCTCCCTCCTGGGAAAAATCTATGTTACCCACCACACCCCCTTTTAATTTTTTATTTTGTTTTTATTGTTGTAGTCGGACACATTACCTTTATTTTATTCATTTTTATGTGATGCTGAGGACCGAACCCAAGGCCCCATGCCTGCGAGGCAAGCGCTCTACCTCTGAGCTACAGTCCTATGTTACCCCCTTTTTAAATAAACCTGCTTTATATGCTTGCCTCCTGCTTCTCTGAGGTTCAAACTTCAACATGTGAGGAAGCAGGACTCGTCACCGATAACCGCGGTATCACAGCCGGGTGGAATAAACCCCAGAGCTGGTTTTTAGCACAGTGTTCTGCCCAGTCACAAGCAGGCCCTGGTGCTGCAGTGCTCCTCTCACGGGCTCAGTCTGGTACTCTAGAGGACAAAGTGCCTGAAGGATGTTCCTGGAACAATCACTTGAATGAAGGAGGCATGGGAGAGGGTTTTTCCTCATTTACTAAAATCATAYGATATTGAACTTCAAATCCATTTTCCAGAAAGTGCACTTCAGCTGTCTCATTTAGCATATGAGGAAACTCCAGTCCAGTGAAATGGGATGACTAGACCCAAAAGATCACTGGCAGCCCAGAGCCCTCTTGGCTGGAGCCTACTGCTCAGGCCAACATGCCTGAGAATGCTCAGATACCTCTGGAGACTTCAACTCAGCGACTACATCTGCCCTCGTGGCTCCTGGGGGCTCCAGGGCAGGGCAGGGCAGCGCTGCCCACGGAGAGCTGGCAGGGGACCTGCGAAGCCAGCCTACAGGCCGGGACTCAGACCAGGCGCTGCAGGTGCGGGCTCCAGCCACAGTGGTTTCCTGGCCCGGGCACTCTGCGGGCCTCCACAGGTAGATTTTGGAAGTCCACACCCCTATGTATTTTTTAAATGCAGCAACTCTAGCAGGCCAGTCCCGAGCGGGTCCGAGGCAGTGGGCGGGGCCTGCGGCTGCAGTCTCATTTCCTCGCGCGCGCCGGAAGTGGCCGTCCTTGGCGCGGCGGCGCGCCCCGCGGGTGGGCTGCTGAGGCGGCGGCGGCCCCAGTGCGCGGGGCGCCGCCCATGTGTGCCTGTTGTCCCGGAGGTGGGGGCGGCTTGGTGGCCGCGGTGGACCGAGAGGGCCAGCGCGGTGAGTACCCGGCCTCGCCTGAGACTCCCGCCGGCTCGGGCGGAGCGGTGCCGGYCACCGGAACGCGGGCTGGGGTCTGCGGGCACTGGTCCCTGTCAGGTCACATCGGACGTACCCTCCGGGGCCCTGTCCCCGTGTGGTAGCTTCGCGGACAGCCCTCCGGAGTCCGCTGGGATTTCAGGGGAAAGCTGCAGTTTTTTTCCGAGACCGGTGCTGCCAGGGACCTTTGGTTTGCGTGTCAGTGTTTTGTTTTGTTCACTTTTTTTTTTTTTTAAACTTACTATCTCCTCTCGGTGGATAAACTTTTTAGTCATCTGTTACCACTTCCGGGGGGGGGGGGGTTAAAATCGTTTTCTCTGACAGCAGCACTCCCATCTCTTGACAGACAGCAGAAGGAACGCCTTTAAAAGATGCACGTTTTGTAGGAATGAGGGGGGTCGAGCATCCCACGGGACAGGGAGCCTCTGGCCTTGTCAAAAAATTCACCTTGAAAATTACTCTATTCTGGAGCAAGTGACAGAGAAGAAATTTGTCAAACATGAAAGCGATGCTCCTTCTGTGGCGATGGTATTGACAGCATGACAATATGATCATAAATTCGAAGCTTTTCCTTTTAAGCCCTTGTTAAACCTGAAGGTATTTTCTAGCCTGCTTTTGAGATAATGTATGCCATGTCGTGGCAGTTCACTGTCATTTTGAAGGCTCCTGGACCTTCATTTCTGGTGAGATTAATGATATCTTTATATCATTAATGTATTTTAAAAGTACCTTTGGTCTTGGAAGTGAGAAACCAAGTATTTTATGAGAGAATGTTCGCATTCATTTTGTATTCTTTCTAGTTGTTTAAAGTTGTTATGTGACTAAAAGAATGCAAAAGCTGCCAGATTTGCAATATGTATGGCTCAGATAATTTGAACATAAGTACAATTAGTTCCAAGCGGTTTARAAATTACATTTTTTCCTTAACTTTTTTGTAGTTGTATAAAATAACATATTAAGTCAACAAGTACATAAATCTTAATTGTATAACTCAATTAATTTTTACATATTCATTATCTGTTTAACCTCTATATACATCATATTATAACTGAACATTACAGTGTGAACATTTTGATTAAACATTTCAATCATCCTCTGCTTCTTCAAGTCACTTATACTCCTATCCCCAATCTGTATTTTGACTCTTCTCATCAGCTATTAATTTTGTCTATTTTGAGCTTCATATTAATGAAATTCCATTGCTTGTGATAGTATGGTGTCAGTGGTGCTTTTTATTGCTATGCTATATTCCACTCTATATGACTACTCTTCTGCTGATGAGCATTTGTGTTTCCAATTTTTGTATACTATGTATTTTGTATATTAAGAATKTTATGAACATTCTTGATGAGCATGTAGATGAATTTGTTAGCYGTAGAATGATTGAATCATAAGGTAAGCAGCAAATGACATTTTAACTTAYGCGGAACATTCCTTTTTCAAAAAAAAGTAATAGAAGCTTTTGTTAAGTAATCTAATATTAAGGATGATTAAAAATGGTTGAACTATTATGAGTTCAAGACTTAGGAGATTCCATTACCAAGTTATTATTTATATATATTTATATATATATATATATATATATATATATATATATGTATGTATTACACATCTATAACAGTCTTCTTTAGATGGTCATTACTTGTTTATAAGTCTGTTAGATCTGATTATGATCTGACTCTGAAGTTTGGTATAACAAGGAGGAACTGTGTTACTCAAGTTAGTAGTTGTTAGGGGAAATTAAGTAGTTGTTGTTAGGGGAAACAAAACACCACAAGAATATAACTAAAAATGGATTGAAAAATCATGGRATTATAAAACAATGAATTTAAATTGTTATTTTCATGCTACATGAATACTAAGTATAAATGTAAAATTAATTATAGGGTTGTTACAAATGTGAATTGTTACAGGAATATAGTTATTTCCATACATATGAAGRTATTAGAATATTTATAATGTTAACTGAAAACAAAAAGCACTAAATAATTGTGGGAAATCAGTGGAACCCCAGACTGAACAAAAACAAGAACTAAGCCTAAAGGARTTAATGTAAGAAACAGAAGAAAACCTTAAAATAAATGTTAGTTATCTTAAATTGGGAGCTTATCCCACTTGTTGAATACATACAGGCTGCCATGAAAAAAAGCAGTCTGTTTTTAACTATTAAAACATAGAAAGTGCTGGGCACAGTACTTTCAATTATTTTGTATAAGAAAACAGTTAATTTATTTCTCAACTCCATGTCACAGATAATTATAGCTAAGAAATTTAATGGAGTGTTAAGAAAGGATGCATAAGCTAGAGGAGGTAGAATTTTAAAATCTTTAATAGTCCSAATCAAAAATTTAATAATCTAGAGCATGATTTCAAAGTCAGGTTTTTCCCCCCCACATCAGACAGGTAATGTGCTAATAATAAGAAAGGTGCATGTCACACAGCACTGAATACCTACATTTACGAACCAAAAAGGATCTCAAAGTTGGTTTTTAATCAGCTTTCTGTTGCTGTGACAAAATACTTGAAATAATCAACTTAAAAGTAGGAAGGGTTTATTTTGGCTCACWGGTTTCAGTACATGGTAAATTGGCCTGTCACTTTGGGGCCTATAGCAAGGCAGTATGTCATGATGGAAGCCCATGGCAGAGGTGGCTTCCTACCTTGTGATAAGCAGGAAGCAAGAGGGACAAGAAACAACTGGAATCCCAATAACCCCTTCAAGAGCAGACGCCAAAAGACCTAAACTTCCTTCCACTAGGCCCCACGTACCTCCCAATAGCACCACAGACTAGTGATCACACCTTCAACACATGGGCTTTTAGGTTACATTTCAGATCCAAAATATAGCAATTGGGAACGTGGGAAGTAGGTTTAGGCAAGTTGGAAGCAGCAAATACTGACCAATTATGTGTTGCAATGAATAATTTAAGTAAATTTAACCAGGAATTTCACTTCCAGGGATTTATCCTATAGATGAAATAACATATATTCAAGTCCTATATGCTAAGGCTGTTCATGCCAAGATGTTTAATAATGGCATTAGATTTGGAAGGATACACCAAAACCAGAGAAGGGAACTTAGACTCTAGGATAGAAGAGAGACTTTACTGTAAGCCCTTTTATCATTTTTAATCTTTTTATCTCATGTTTTTACTTTTTGATATTTTAGAAGTATAAAAGAATTAGGGCTGGAGTTGTAGCTCAGTGATAGAGCACTTGCCTAGCATGTATGAGGCACTGGTTTCAATTCTCAGCACCACGTATAAATAAATAAACAAAATAAAGGTCTATCAACAACTAAAAATATTTTTAAAAAAGAATTATAAGTTGGACTTTGTGGTACATGCACGAGTTCCAGACCAGCCTGAGCAACACAATAAGACCCTGTTTCAAGGAAAAGAAAAAAAAAWTTTTTTTCTTTTAGAAGTATTAAAAAAATTAAGGACTTAGAGTTGGGGTTGCCATATCTGGCTGGTCACCTATATTTTTATTTATCTTATTTTTTTAGTTTTGGCATCAGGAATTGAACTCAGAAGCACTTAACCACTGACCAACGTTCCCAGCCGTTTTTATTTTTATTTTGAGACAGGGTCTCAATGAGTTGCTTAGGGCTTCACTAAATTGCTAAGGCTGGCCGTGAACTTGCAATCCTTCTGCCTCAGCCTCCAAAGTTGTTGAGATTACAGGCATGCACCATCACACAGACCACTGGCCATCTATTTTAATATGACCTGTGACCTAAGGGTAGTTTTTACATTTTTAAATATTTTGGGGAAAAGAGAAAAACAATACTTTATGACCTGTGAAGATTATATGAAGTTTGAATTTCAGTGTCCTTTGAAACAAATATGTGTATTAATTCACATATCATCAGCGTATGCTTTGCATGCTACAATGGCAGAATTGACTGGTTATAACATTATTTGACCTAAAATGTTGGCTGACCCCTAGTTTGAGGYCAAAAATAGATTTCTCTATATATAGGAATTTGGTTTGTTATAAAGGTAACTTGCATTTCAAATTAAGGACAGGAGCATGTATTATAATATGAGTGACAAGAAGTGCCTATTTAAGGAAAAAAATTACTTATTTTACATTAGAATTACTTCAGATAGGGAGGCTGACATTGAAAAGTCATTTAGGAAAAGCTTGATACATTCAACTATTAACAAGAGAGACCAAAATTTGTGTAATGGGAAATTTCCTTTCAGTTTTTTAAAGATATTGCTTCATTGTCTTCTCATTTGCATTGTTTCCAAGAGTAATCTTCTATAATCTGACATCATTGCCTTTTGTTTCTTATATATGATACATGCTTTTTGTCTGGCTGCATTTAAGATTCTCTTGATCATTGAGTTTGAGCAGTTTAATCATCATATGCCTTGGTTTTGTTGTTATTTTGAGATAAGTTCTTGTTGGTTATGTGGCCAGGCTTGAACTTGGAATCCTCCTGCCTGAACTTCCTAAATAGCTGGAATTACGGGTGTGTACCACCTTGCCTGGCTGTATGCCCTGTTTTATTTATGGTTCTTATACTTGAGGTTGATTGAGCTCCTTAAATCTATGTATTCACAGTATTCATCAGATTTGCAAAATGTTCAGCCTTATTTCTTTAAATATTCTAATCTCCTCATTCTTTGGGGCCTTCAATTACATATATATTATACTATTTGAAGTCATCACACAGCTCTGTTCATATATTTCGTTCTTTTTCCTTCTGAAGTAGTTTCTACTGCTGTGTCTGCAATTCACTTTCTTTTTTTTTTTTTTTTTTTTTTGAAACATCTAAACTACTCTTAATCCCATCCAGGGTACTTTTCATCTTGCCGTTGAAATTTTCATCTCCTAAAGTTTAATTTGAATCTTTTTTTAAATGTCATACGTGTTTCTACTTTGTTTTTGAACAGGAACATCTTTTTAAATACAATTATACTGTTTTAATGTCATTTTCTGTGAATTCTCATATTTGTGTCCGTTCTAGATCAGTTTTAGTCAGTGATTATTTTCATTATGGCTGATGATTTTTGTTTGAATGTCATATATTGTAAATTTTACTTTGTTTTGTGGTATTTTTATATTTCTATAAATATTCTTGAGGCTTGTGCTGTTACTTGGAAACAATTTGATCCTTTCACGTTTTGTTTTTAAGATTTGTTGGTAGGACTAGAGCCATGTTTAGAGCTAATTAGTTCCCACCACTGAGGCAAGACATTTTTGAATACTTTACAAAATTCCCCATGAATTTTGAGGTTTTTCCAGTTTGTTTGGTGAGAGCATGCCTATTTCTGGCCCTGCATGAATACTAGGTTCTGTGTCCTCAAATTTTTTGTGTGGTCTTTTCCTTAGCCTATTAATTTCTCCATAAGCTTACATTGAACAGGACTCCACTGAATATCCAAAGATGTCTCTTCTTCAGAACTCTGGAGTTCTCTCTTTTTGTAGCTGTCTCCTTTGAACTCTAGCTGCCTTAGTCTCCTCAGACTGTCAACTCAGGAAATCTGCTGGTCTGTGCTTAAGTTACTCTCCTTGGGCTGGAAACTTAGGCAGTAAATTGGGTAGTCATTTGTTTCTTGTTCCAGGATCGCTGACCTTTTTTACTTGATGTTGAATATCTTGAAAATCGTTGTTTCATATTTTGGGGTCTTTTTGAGGGGGAGGAAATTTTTTTCTTTTTAGTTGTCTGTATATTTCTGAAATCTTTGATTTTTATATTTCATTCCTTTAACAATTCATTTTCTTATCTCTGCAATATCCCTTTCTCTGTAAATAAACCTTATCTGTGATATAAACACATTGTATAGTATGATGGTAATCAAGATGGAATTTTTTTGTTTTGCCTTTTTGTGGGGCTGGGAATTGAACCCATGGCCTTGTGAGGCAAGCACTGTACCAGTGAGCACATTCCTCCTAGTCTTTCTGATATTCTTAACATACTTAGAGCTGTTATAAACTAGTCTTCTAGGATTTGGTTGAAGAGTTTCCTACAGGAACTAAACAAGTAAGATTTTAATTGAGGGCTGGGGATGTGGCTCAAGCGGTAGTGCACTCGCCTGGCATGCGTGCGGCCGGGGTTCGATCCTCAGCACCACATACAAACAAAGATGTTGTGTCTGCAGAGAACTAAAAAATAAATATTTAAAAAAAAGATTTTAATTGAAATTTCTCATAAAAATAAGACAATCACCACAGAACTATGCAACTAACATTTACATTCTGAGGTAATTACAGCAGCTTTTCTTTCATTTCAGTGGAAAACATTCTGCTATAATATTAGCCTATTAAGTCACAAGTTTTCAATTCTGTGTGTAGTGCAATGAAATTGGCACAGGTACATTAAAATTGGTTGGAAATAATAATCTAGAACTTAAATATAATAATTAATATTAAAATTATTACATATTGTATAATTCTATATTATTATTTTATAATTATATGACATATTGTGTAATTCTATACACTATCTAAATTTTTATAGGTGTTCCACATCTGGAATGATGGAGCAAAATGGGTTAAATAGTATGTAAACCATCTCAAATCAAACAGTGCTATCCTGAAAAAACTGTATGGAGAATGTATAAAAATACATTTTAAATCAGTGGGTTTTTTCCAGGATTTTTGAAGTGCAACCCAGTTATAAATACATTTTACATGAAAAGTTCATACATATGCACATATATAATCACAACACAAAACTTACTACTAAATGTGATTCACGTTGATATTTTTTATTCCGTTGAAAAGTTAATCTGTACAAGTGGCCCATTTAAGTCATAGCTCACAGTATAAAATATATTGTCTGCATACCAAAAAAAAAAAAAAGCTATGAGGTACCCTATTAATAAAAGGTAGTGGTATTTAGATTATATATTTTTGGTTCTTTTATAAAGTTTCACTCCAAAACTGTTTGAGTATATAATCGTACTATGGTTAAGTCTGTCTACCTTAATAATAATTTATACAAATTATGTTTCTACATTTTCAATTTGAGCCTTACTTTTCCCTAACAAGTAGGCTGATAATAACTTACAAATAGTTAAGAAATTCCTCTCAGTTTTTCTTTTCAAAATGACATTCAAGTGATTTCTTATTTCTAATGATTATAGTTTTGAGGCATGCTAAATTCCTAGAACTAATATTAGCTTTGCATGCTTATTTTTAAATTAGTATTTCTTTTTTCTTTTCTTTGGACTGGGGATTGAACCTGGAACASTTTAYCATCCCCAGTCTCTTTTATTTTTTATTTTGAAACAGGGTTTCACTCAATTGCTTAGGGATTCACTAAGTTACTAAGACTGGCCTTGAACTTGCCTACCCTCCTGCCTCAACCTTCAGAGTCACTAGGATTACAGGCATGTACTTCCACACCCAGCTTAGGTAGTATTTCTTGAAACTAAAAATGTCTCCTATTTTTTTCTACATCATTTAAGATTTACAATCAGTGGGAAAGAGGCTGTTAATAGTAAAAGACTTTATTGTAATGAATTAAATTTTTCAAGATACTTGTTTATTATTTGTTTTATTAAAATAATAAATGGTTAAAGGGAGTTAAGTTAATTATTTGTGGTCTTCTATCCTACATTTTAAATAGATATGTGCCACAAAATGTGTACACTGGAGCATTTTCCACAGAGGCATTCAGGCTTTCCTAATCACTAAGAAAGTGACTAAGACTGATGTTTCCCAGTCATCTTCTTCCATAGGTTCTACTGCACTGGAGAAACCATTACCATAAAATATCTGCAGTCAACACATTATCCTTCTTGATAAATTACTTGGTGAGAATGGAAGTTCTTTTGCAGGGAAGGCTTCCCTGCTTCTTCTCTTCTAAGTTTAACCTTCTCTACTTCTGGAATTTAAAATCCTTAGTTTAGAAATAGATACAGAATAGCTTATACAACTAGTTGTAGCATGAAAGGTAGCATATAATTTTGTAAATTTATAATGGTATTTGAATTTTTTCTCAAACATATTTAAAATATTCATATTTTTTCTTTATATATATAGACACTAAACTTTCCAAACTTGTAGGAAATCTGTTGCTGTGTAATACAGTAAAAAGAATTATGTGATCTAATCTTCCAATAATCTACCAGAGAACTTTGGACATAAAAATGTTTTTTTAATGGTTTTCAGCTGTCTGTGACCTTTTGATATTGCCCCCCCCTCCCGCCACACACATACACTTCCTAGATTGGCTGAGTTGAGCAATAGAAATTAATGAGGTAGAATATTTGAACCAAATAAATTGGAAAAAACTCTCTCCCATGAAAACCATTATTACTATGGTAGAAACAATTTATAGAAATTCAATTCCTAAGTGTATGCTATTGAAATATTGTGTTAATACAAAGTTATAAGCAATATAATTAAAATAATTAGAAAACAGTAGAATCTATGTAACAAACTATAGAATACAAATCTGAATGTAATCTTAATGTTTCTGTGATTCAGGAGATTATGGGTGGATAGCCATACTGTTTAAAAGTATTATACATAGTATKTTAGAATTTTAAAAGGCATTATAATAATTTCTCCAAGTATTTACCAATATTCTATTTGTGCTTCTAGTGGTGCTCAACATATAGTTTATTGAACATATAAGTTTATTGAAGCTACCAACAGTTTGGTTTTCTTAAGAAAACAAAATTCTGATTGATTGTGATCTGTTTCTTTCAGAAAGCTCACTACCCATATAATGGATTTTATAGTTCAGATTGTTTTATTCTGGATTTCATGGTAACAAAACAGGAAGTATACTTAATTTCTCATTTCTACAAGTAGTCATGACTACTGAGAAAACAATTTTTTTAAGCTACAGCAGAATTCATCTTGGTACCTTTTATGGAAATCCTGATTTTGTTTTTAATTTTGATAACCTTTTGCTAAAGGTATGAAGAAGCAACTTATCTTGTTAGGCAAATACACATTTATAAGAATGTCTAGAAGAGGATCAATCCTTCACACCCGGACCCACTGGCTACTGTTAGGACTGGCTTTGCTCTGTAGTTTGGTATTATTTATGTACCTTCTGGAGTGTGCCCCTCAGACTGATGGAAATGCATCTCTTCCTGGTGTTGTCGGAGAAAATTATGGTAAAGAGTACTATCAAGCCCTCCTACAGGAGCAAGAAGAACATTATCAAACCAGGGCAACCAGTCTGAAACGCCAAATCGCCCAACTAAAACAAGAATTACAAGAAATGAGTGAGAAGATGAAATCATTACAAGAGAGAAAGAATATAGGGGCTAATGGCATAGGCTATCAAGGCAGCAAAGAACAAGCACCTAGCGATCTTTTAGAATTTCTTCATTCCCAGATTGACAAAGCCGAAGTTAGCACAGGAGCCAAACTACCCAGTGAGTATGGGGTGATTCCTTTTGAAAGTTTTACTTTAATGAAAGTATTTCAGTTGGAAATGGGTCTCACTCGACATCCTGAAGAAAAGCCGGTTAGAAAAGACAAACGAGATGAATTGACAGACGTTATTGAAGCTGGCTTGGAGGTCATTAATAATCCTGATGAAGATGATGAACAGGAAGATGAGGAGGGTCCCCTGGGAGAGAAACTTATATTTAATGAAAATGACTTCATAGAAGGTAATATGAAAAATAAATTGGTAAATAGTTGTGTTATTATGACAATATGCTATTGTTTATGCTGACATGTCAGTTGTTACGCACAGTATTAAAACATTTAAGTTCTTACCTGCTTAATTCCACCAAGAATTTGAAGTGGCTTTTTGGAAAAATGCTATAATGAGATCATAATAAAATTGAGAATAAGGACCAGGGAAGTACAAGAATATAAACTATTGAAGCTGAAGAGCTCTTTTGAGCAGTGTGTATATTTACATGTGTATGATTTGCATTCCTCGCTTATCTGATCTTGATATTCCTTTTTAAAACATAAAAGTTTTATGTTTTTTTAATTTTAATTTTAACACCTCCTGCTAGATATTTAATTGCAGGCTTAAATAGCAATTTTGGAAATAAATCTTTCTTAAAAGTTCTTTTTGCTTGATTCCATAAGCAGCCTACCACATGCAGGGTTTTTTTTTTTGTTGTTGTTGTTGTTGTTTTGTTTTGTTTTTATTCCAAATTATCATGACTATCACTTACCATACTGTGATATAATATATGGAGGCCTTTGGAAGCCATCAGTCAGGACATAGTGGTTTGCTGGGCAATTTCACCCTGTGGTTCCTTTTTTTTCCTACTATTACTTCCTGACATTTTTTAAGGTTTTATTTTTTTTTCTTACAACTCTTCTAATTTTTCTACAAGCTCAACTTTTTGTCTTATTCTATGTTTGTATTTGTGACAGAATTGAAAGATACAGAGGAAATAAGATAATTAAGTACCATATAAAATGTCCACACATTAGATCTGCCCCCAAAAAAAGGAAGCTGAGCCAGTTTTATATTCTACAACTTCTGTGTATTTTGTAACTCTTCTTTCAGGATATTTTTCTGCATGGAACATATTCCATACGTCACTTTTTCTCCACTATGCCACTACTCTCTCTCCTAAAATAATACTGACAACCTCTGAGTAGATCCTATTCCTCTTCCAGATTTTAGCTCAGGTGTCACTTCCAGGAAGTCATCTCCAGCTTCAAGTTTAAGATAGCAGTGCTTCCTGTATGCTTTTGTCATCTCTACACTGCATCCTCTCTCCTAGGACTTGTTGTAGTATATGTTGTTGCCCATTTTCTGGTTCATTTTCCTGCCTCAGGAGGGTTGGGACAAGTCTATCTTATTCACCATTTTATTACCATATATTGACTGAGTGATCCACACATTTGTATGTCTAACTTCTCTCTTGAGTGTCATGCTTAAAAATTAGATTGCTGTGAAAAAGTACTGGAAAACAATATCAACCATATTATATTATGTCCAAGTGTAAATATACCACAATGAACCCCATGTTTTTACATAATTATAATCTACTAATTAAAAAAAGAGTAATAGAAAGGAGACCAGTAGAGAAGAGCTGAGGATCAGGTGGAGGGAGGAGGAGAAGGAAAGATATTGGGAAATGAGATTGATCAAGTTATGTTATGTACATGTACAAATATAGAATAAGGATTCCTACTATTATGTAAAATTTTAATGCATTAATAACAAATAATAAACAGCAAAGGCAAAAAATTAGATTGCCCAGTAAATTTCTATACTTTTATCCTAAAAGCATCTCAAATCACTGTTGATATATAAACTAGTTTTTCTTCAACTTCACTATATTCAGTGTATTGTTACTATTTATTTTTCTGTCTTTCTCAAAACTCAGACCATGTTGTCTATTTATATTATTAGTCATCGATATGAAGACACCTGATTCATTTTTGTTGTACTGAACAGAGCATCAGAAGTTTTTTTTAACACTTGGGCTCAGAATTTAATATTGCTTTAAGTAATTTCTTTGTCATATGATTACTGTAATGATAAACTATTATTTTTAAAGTCATATGTATAAAGGAATAATTATCATTTGGAGGGTATTTCATGGATTTAATAATATAGCAGGGTGATAAGCTTTTTTAAAAAACTCTCTTCTACTTCAAGAATAGTTTTCATTGTCTAGACAGTGGGAATAAATATTTTCACAAATAGACTAAGACTCTATAGATCTGGTTTAATACTTTCAATCTTTGAGTAAAGTCTTGTTGAACTTATAAATTTTGACATGAACATGACTTTGAAAACTCTTTCCTTTAGGTTATTATCGCACTGAGAGAGATAAGGGAACACAGTATGAACTCTTTTTTAAGAAAGCAGACCTTATGGAATATAGACATGTGACCCTCTTCCGCCCTTTTGGACCTCTCATGAAAGTGAAGAGTGAGATGATTGACATTACTAGATCAATTATTAATATCATTGTGCCACTTGCTGAAAGAACTGAAGCATTTGCACAGTTTATGCAGAACTTCAGGTAATTGTCGGGACTTAATGATTTTGCTAAGTTCTAAAAAAAAAAACAATAGCATTTTGTACAGATTTGCTTAATTTATTTCCACTGATTACTTAGAATTATAGAATAATTTTATTGCTTTAGGGGAATTTTCCTTTTTTATATTCTCCTTTTTCTTTAAGAATGAATCATATGTTGTATTTCTTGAAATTTTTAACCGTATGGTAAATTGAGGGTGACAACTGTTACAAACTAAATTTGATGGCCTTTATAATAGTGTGTGAATTCATTTTAGGACTAGTTAAATTTTTAAGAATTACTTTATTGAGGCATTTTTGTATACAATAAAATCCATGTAATAAGGATAATTTAAAGGATGTTTTAAGGATAAGAAATCATATTTTCATGACTTTGGACAAATGTATACATTCACAAACTACCACCGCAATCAAGATATAAAGGTTGCTATCTCCCAAGAAAATCCTCTAAAGAACAATTTGAGTTTCAAGGTTGAAATAAATTTAGAAATATAAGCATTCAACAAAAATTTGGAGAAAGTCATTCCATCTTGGAAAGCAGAATATTTATGGTTTTATTTTTTGGTCATTAAATTTGGATATTTTAAGGGCTGGGGATGTGGCTCAAGCGGTAGCGCGCTCGCCTGGCATGCGTGCGGCCCGGGTTCGATCCTCAGCACCACATACCAACAAAGA